TGTCCTGGCTGTGTACTCCAGCATGCCAGGCCCTCAAGTTCCCAAGCAATTCTGTTTTCTCCTATTTCACTATGGGAATGCTGGGGTTACAGATGTATGCCCCTGATTGAGCTTTTTAACTATTTTTTTACATATGTTCTTGGGTTCTGGGTCATCTAGCCTTGGTGTCAAGAAACTTTACACACTGACCATTCCAACAATGCCATTTAGATTTTTTGGTCAGTTATTAAAATTTCTTTTCCCAAGAAAGGCTCTTGGAGTCGTGATTTTCAGAACCTCAATGCTCTGAGATACTTTATCAATACTCTTATACTGAGCATTGCTATATTTAACAATAATTTAAAGTTTTCTGGAATTTTCCCACTTGCCCTTTCCTATTTTCTCTCCTTATGTCTTATGCCCACATTAGGGACATCTTGTTTTGGCAGGGAGAGAGGAGTTGTCTAGCATTCACTTCCTAGGCTCAGCTAATTGAGTGGCAGAGTGTGAAACCCTCTGTGTAAAAGTCACCAGGCTCTCTTGATGTTTTGAGGTCAACCTGTGTAGCACGAATCTTAAATGTCTTATTAATAAAAAACTCGGGGTACGGTATTGGGGTGAATGCTGAAAGATCAGAGAAACAGATTGAGCCACAGCTAACCTCACCTTGCCAATTTCTCAGCTGATCTTGTTTCCTCAAACTGGAAGCCTCTGAGTACTCATCCAAATAGATCTCAGCTGAACTGCTGCTAAAAGCCTAAAAGCTTAACTAGACTCCAGTTCCTGGTCCTCGTGCCTTAAATACCTTTCTGCTTTTTGCTATCAGTTCCTGGGATTAAAAGCTTGTGTCACCATGCCTGGCTGTTTTCAGTGTGGCTTTGAACTCACAGAGATCCAGATGGATCTCTGCCTCCAGAATGCTAGGATAAAAGTCATGTGCTACTACTGCCTACATCTATGTTTAATATAGTGGCTGTTCTGTTCTCTGACCCCCAGATAAGTTTATTAGTGTGTACAATATATCAACCACAAACATGTCTTTAACAAAAAACATGAATGCAATAATAGATACTATCTAACCAGGATATAGATGAATGCAATAGCAGTTACTCTCTAACAATGAGGTACAGGAATACATGAATACAATAATAGGTACTCTCTAAACAGGGGCTACAGTAATGCAATATTTGATACTCAAACTTCTAAAAAAAGTGAAGAGCAGAGCCACATCTCAAATTTTTTCATAGTTACCAGGTGTTCTTTCCAGTCTAGCAAACTTCACACCCACTAACAATTGGAAAACAGTTGAAGCCTTCTTGTCTCACTGGAATTTAGAAGCAAAGTCAAGTTAACTCCTCCTCTTCTCCCCTCACACCTCTCCTCTTCTCTCTTTTGTCTTCTCCTTTTCTCTTCTCTCTTTTCCTTTCCTTCCCTCTTTCTTCCTCTCTCTTCCACTCCCCTCTCCTCCCCTTTCCTCCCTTGGTTCTTTTGTTCCCTTGCTTCTACCCATAATAGACTATAGTGGAATAGGATATATATTGTGATATATATAAAAATGATGGGTGATACAGTACCACTATTTGCATGCTATCATTACTCTTCTAGACTTTTGTGTTTTCTTGAACTCTGTCATGAATTGGCTTCCAAAATTAAATTCCAACAGATGCATTTATTATGCTTTTCTTAGCCAAGGGTTATTTGGTGGTGATAGAGCACATTTTAGAAGGACTCACACATTCCTAATTTATAAGAATATTTCTCAGTTTTCTTCCTGACTGCTTGATAAGCCTCCCCTTCACATGTAATTTTCAAAATCACCTCAAGTCTATTTTTGTAGGCAGTACAGAAAAGACAAACACCAAAAGTTGGTAACTCCATATATCAAAGGCATTTTTAAAAACACTTTAAAAATTATTTATTTATTTATTTATTTATTTATTTATTTATTTATTCATTCATTCATTCATTCATTCATTATGTACAAAGTGTTCTGTCTGCATGTATGCCTGAGAGCCAGAAGAGGGCACCAGATCTTATTGTAGATGGGTGTTAGCCACCATGTGGTTGCTGGGAATTGAACTCAGGACCTCTGGAAGAGCAGCCAGTGCTCTTAACCACTGAGCCACTTCTCCAGCCCCAAAGGCATTTTCTTAATGTCATTGCCTACGTGATGGATTCTTTCTCTGTTTATCTCTGTGACTGCCTTTATATCTTGAATTTTTGTATAAAATATGTTAGCTTTTTTGTTTTACCAATGTGATAGAATACCTGGCAAACAACTTAAGAGAAGAAAGATTTATTTGGTCTTTGTTTTCAAAGGTTTGGGTTCGTTATGATGGGTACAGCATGGTGGTCACTGTGGTAACCAGGGATCTATGCATTTAGGTTTATAGCCAATGTCTAACACTTAAAGGGCTGCACCCTGCTTTAGATGTATGGAGGTCACTGGACAACTTTCAGAAGTCATATGGCTCCTTTGTGTGGGTTAGCAGTAGAGCTGTATTGTCCTCACCACAGGATGAAAAGCTTAACCATTAGGATCATGAACTATGATGGTCATTGGAAGGATGCTAGGACAGACACGGGTTTGCTTGTTGTACTTTTATTTATGTGTATGTATTTTTCAGGTGTGTCAAGTCTGAAGAGAAGTCACTTGGAATTGGGTTACATGCATTTTGTACAAGAGTATTTGGTATGAACAATTTCCTAACACATCAGACCAATACTATACTGAGTACTTAGTAAACTAGTTAATTTTCTCTGAATAAAAAGGTAATAACTATCTTGTTAACCCAAAACACAACCTCACCTTACAGGGAATAAGAGGTTTTATTCTGGGATCAAATATGAGTCACCACAATGGGAACACAGTTTCAGGTCATCCAAATATCAGTTTTCAACATGGTGACATTAGTGATGTTTATAGTTGGAGAACACAGGAAGTCATGAATAAGGCACCTCTCAAATACATCTGAGG